TCTTAATCCGAACAGTGGTATTTTCTTAATTTCCATACATTGCCATAATTACTGGGCTAACCTAGTTTCTTTCAACACTAAGGTACTGCGAAAAGTATTCGTACTCGTACTATACAAACAAACAATATGTGAAACAGCGTAAATGTAGCGTGAATGAGGAATTTGCAAGTCATTTGGGATTTTAAAAAAATCGAACTGCCTAACGTATGTATATACAGTATTCGACAAAACTAAGTTAACCCTATGATTGTAAAGAGCTAAATTATTATATCTATTGAGAAGTGAAATTAATTGCTTTGTTTGTTTTTCTATTTTCCTGCAATAAAAAATTTGAAATTAAATATTTTACATTTGAACTGTTTCTTGTAAAATACGCGACTATCTGAAAAAGAGAAATATTCAGCAACAACAAAAATATGTAGTTCCCCATATATTACAAAGGTACCTTCTTAGTAGAGCATCAGTGTTTAGCGTTACCATTTTTAGCGTTAATTGCAGCCAAGTTCTGAAGAAGCGTATGTATTCCCAGGCGTCCTTCAATCTATTAAAAATCTCGTGTTTATGGGACAGGCAGATCGGTCGAGCTTATCATTCAAATACTGCCGTAACTGCTCAATACGATTTAAAACAGGGCTTTGGGCAGACCACGGTAGGAGCTCTAACGATTCTTGATCGAAATATCCTTTCGTAACACGAATTGTAATATTATATAAAGTCATCTTGTAAGCCCAGTTCTCGCGCTGCGGGCTCCAAATTTGTACTCAGCATCTGCACGTAGGGCTTGCCCGTTACTTTGTCTTCTACCATTAGCTGATTTGTTAGACCACTGTAGCTAAAGCAACCCCAAACTAAAACATTTCCACCTCCGAACTTTATGGTGCTTTGGATGCTCTTACTTTGAAGCCTCTCATGACTCTTTTGTTAATATTTTTCTTAGCCTTTTGTACTTTTAAATTTAAATTTCCTCTCATAACTTCAAATCACTTTTTTCTAAATGTTGGCGACATTTGATAATACTTTTTGGCAAATTCCAATCATGCCTTCAAGTTATTTTTGCTGGTGAAAGACTTTTTAATCTTGTACTGGCTGGAATAGCTATTTTCTCAGATTCCACGCTGATTTGTTCGTGATCCTGAACAATCAAGTTTCACAAGTCAACGCCTACTTCTGCAGATGTTGGCATTTATCTAAAGAAAATTTCATAAATCTTGACTAACATACTTTTCTGAGCTTAAAATGTTAAAATTTTACGTTTCTCTAATTTATTTTTTCTTATTTATAAAAATTATTTACACAAGAAACATTACGCAACAATTATGCCACGGTATGCATACTGTTATTTATTATTTGCTAGCTTCCAGTATGTACTAAGAGAATGTGCCATTTTTTTATTGTTGAACTCTTGGAAGAAATATTAAAAAAATAGTAAAAAATGTGGTGGGGTATGCATAGTTTTGTCGTATACTGTATGTGTATAAAATAAGTATCTATAACTCAGTCTATAATATAAACAATATAATTACAGTGTGACAAAAACACCTTTTTCGTTCAAAAACCACACCGGCCTATTGTATGGGTTAGGCGGAAACAAATGTTACTTGCTTTTTATTATTATTGCTAAACATCATATATCTGTCAGAAGAATATTTCGTCACAAACGTGAAAGATAATGATCCCTAAGTAATTGTAACAAAGCATAATTGTAAAAATTTACGATCGGTTGAACTTCATTATTGAGAGTTCAAAAGCATTAGCCAAGACCTTATATATTCGTAAATAGCTCGAAATAAACACAAATTTTAGATTCCCTGACTATGGTATGCCTTCGACAGTCCCTATTTTTTGGTACTATCACTTACAGCTAAAAAATTATAACATTATTTAGTTAATATTGAAATGCATGCAGAAAAGTTTTAGGGTATAATTTAGATAGAGACAGTTCCTGAATGAATATAAAACCGTGTCTATTCCAGTATCGTATATCTTAACGAATAAATGTTTCCATATTACAAATCAATTAAGCTTCTTTTCTTATTTAAACAACAATACCGGAAGTCGACCTTACGTTTTCAATCTACTAATAGAAGGAAGCTAAGTTTTTTTCAATTTTGACTAAGCCCTTTTCAAAAAAGTTCAGCAAAAGAAACCTAGATTTTCGGAAAAAACAAATTAAAGGTTTATTCTAAGGATGATCGCACCATCAACCTTTTTTTATAACTTTATGTGATAGTCTTTCTTTCTTCTATTTAATAAGTGATAATACAGGAAGGATAATAAGAATATATAGTATGACTTTCATTTAGTGTAGTTTTTCTATCCGACATTCAATCCACATCCTGTTATGTGAATAATAAAGAACTGGCAGACATTCGAACTCAACTTTGCACTCGCATTTCAAGCAACATATGAATGCCGAGTCTTCTGCGTCTTCCATTTGCAATTTGCATCCGCTTTCATTTGAAGGATTGGCCGACCCAAACACAATAAAAGGAGTGACTGCGTATAACTGTAACACGTACTTGCTGATGTACCACATATTTTCAACCGCCGCCTTTGTAAATATTACGTGGCATTTAATTGATAGTGTGCTAATTGACTTTTCATGGGTTGTGTACTGTATCTTGAGTGCAAATATTCAAGTTCAGACTTGTTACATTCATATGCATGTATGTAGGGAAGTAAAGGAAATACATGCCATCGCTTAGGAACTGTCATTGCCAAGGTAACAGATTTAATGACATTAAAAGTTACGCTCTTTTTCGAGAAGTTAACTGAGGTGGTTTCTAATCCGTTTTTAATTAGTATGACAGACGTGAAGTAGACGCAACATACATACATATATGATTACGAAAGGAGTTTTTTGATGCGGTATGACTTTTTAACTAAAATTTAACAAATTAGTTTAATTTACGTATTCCCCTTCGACTCCGCATTGATAAAGAAGAATCAGTTATCAACTCTAAGTATGGCAGGGAAAACCTCTGAAGTTCCATGCATTAGTTCTTCGAAGATTAATTACACTTAGATATTCGAAGCAACACGATAACTAATCAGGATTTCAATTTAAACTTGTCTTTTCTTTACAACCTTTTAAGTCATTATAAAGCAATTCAAAAAATAAGTCAGGAAAGCAAAAGCAGACTCATGACAGTCTTTCTCCACAGCGCTGAGATCGGAGACCGTAAAATCAAATATTATTGGTCTCCTGTTTTCGATTGTTCATTTTTAAGAATCAAAGATTTTATCAATGGAGGAAATATGTTATAATAACAGAATAAGCTCAATATAGATGCAGCTGCTGACGGCCTCAGCTATCACTGAGGTGCGAATCTGTTAGAATTGCCTACTTTTAAGGTGTTTGGAAAATCTTAAGCCACATTTAATTTCCCAAAATGAAATATGAATGTAAAGTATATAGAATTATATGAAATCTTTGTGATCCAACGAACAGCGTTGCATACTTTTAGGCGCACAACCAACTACTAATTGAAAATTTAGCGTAAATTTCTAAATGAGTGTGATAACTAATTTACTGCTTTTGCAGTGCAATAAAATTGCAAACAAACAACAACAACAAGCACAAACATAGCACTACGAACGCTACGTACAATCCATTGTCCTTTGTGTCGTTTACATTTAAATTAGCTAAATGCATATGTAAATATATACTCAGTGCAAATATGTATTATACATTGTATGTGCGACTATTTATGGCAACTTCCTCATGACAAAATATAGTGAATGTTTGTGGATTAATTAATTTATCTTCCCTGCGATAGTAAATATTTTTATTTATTTTTTGTTTTTTTTTTTTGCAAAATTTCCAAGTTCACGCTCATGGCATTAATAAAGTCCTCGTTTACCTGAGTAAAGCATGTATTTATTTCAATAATTTATAATTATTATAAAAAAGCAAACAATTTGTTCAAAAATCCGCGTCGTCTAGCTTGACTATTTCACACAAAATGGTTTATGTGCAAAACATAGTAGTGCTAAAACTACAGATTCAAGTGTGTTACTAATATTAACTAATATACTTGTATGTATGCAGTTTGTATGTATGTACGACTCATATCTAATTCAAACTTGCAGGAATTATATGTATATAGTAACGAAACGCTTAAAATAACAACTTGTAGTTTCAATTATAAAGAATAGCACATGCATTATTATTTTTTTAATAATATTTTATGTATTTTTATTTATTTTTTTCTGTTTTTTTTTTTGTTTCTCATCTCATCTTGTCTAAATTTGTTTCAACTTTCAACTTGTATTTTTTCTTCTTTTTTTTACTTAAACATATATAATGATAATAAATTTGTTTAGTGTAACAGCAAATAGTATTTTCTTAATGTTGTTGTTGTTCTTTTGTCGCTTAGGTTTTGTGTGCGTCCGCCGCCGTAGTCTGCAGAGTGTGCCGCCAAATCGTCTCTCCAGCCCAACCTCTCCAAGAGCAGTAAAAAAATAAACATTTGCGCAGATTTGTTGTTATTGTTATTGTATCTTGCATTGTTGCGTTTGGATTTTAGTTTTTCTGCAGTTTGTGTTCATTTTTACTTATCGTTTAGAAAATGTATAACAAACAGGTGGGGAGGAAGAGGCAGCATAGTGTAAATTTGTTGTTGTTACTTTTATTTTTGGTATTACACTCTTATTTGTTGTTGTTGTTGTTCCTCCGGCTTTGATTTGACAGTATGATATTTGTTGTTGTTATTATTTGTTTTAATTATTACTCTTATGTTTTGTAGCTGCGTCACTTGCTGCTTAATAAATAAATTGCAAACAATAATCCATCTCGACACTATTTTACGTAAGCCTGTATTTCCTCTCTACTTCTAGTGCTACTTTGCAAATCCTTCTCCGCCATAGCTTAGCGCTCCAACTACTACATGCTTTTACTTGTTGTTTTTGTTGTTGTTTTCTGTTTAGTAAGCATGGTTGGCAACGAAGAGTGTGGCATCAGCACCAGCACCGACCACACTGCCGGCAACGTATTTGCCTACAGCGGAATCACCGTTAGCCTGAAAGAAGGCAAATAGAAGAAAATTAATTAACGGAAATTCTCAGGAAAATGTTATTCACAAGAAATTTTTATATCGTTATGAACTAATTGGGACTTTATTGGATTACGAGTAAGTTATAGTATTGTGCAATGAAAGTATATAATATTAATATGTATCATATACATATCTATATATCTTCTATTTATAATTAAGCTAACAAAAAAGTGTTGCCGTTGATATACCTGTATATGGATAACACCGTCGCTGTTCTGTATAAGTTGCAAATATGTTACATATGTTATATTTTTTCATTTTTAATTTTTCACATTAAATTTCAAGTATTGTTTGAGTGAAGAAACACATTGAAGTAGATAGTTAATTTTTTGAACATTTTTTTTTCCAAGTTCAATTTTTTGTACTAAATAACAATAAATTGTATATTCTGTCGATCGAATTCCGACCACTGGCGACCATAGTATGTATTTAAATACCAAATATAAATTGTAAAAAAAGTAATAAATAATTGTATCGTTTAGTAATGAAAAATAACATTGATGAAAAATGCTTTAAATAAATAAGAATAATTATTATTTATAATAATGATACAATTTCTGCATATTTTCAACGAAAGACATTTGCTTAACCCTTACGAAGCACCTGTGGTACAGAGAGCACAGTTTTTTATTCATAACCAAATTATACAAATTTGCGTCAATTGATTTCAAACGTTAAAAAATAACCCAAAATGCATTCATTTAACTTAGGAGTACCGATCCCTCTAGTTTATTCTCTGGTATTTAGAGCTTCTGCATATTTTGTCTTCTTTACAATTTCGTTTCACTATATTTTATTCATCTTAGACCCTACTTAGCAATAGCTTTGCTCATGAATTAAAAAAAATGCCATTACAGGGGTTTTATTTAACCAATGTGCGTCAAAGAATAGGCTTACTATCAGCGAAATATGATTAAAAACTTTCATTAAATGGAGCCGGAACTTCGCTTGATGTATTCTTTTCAAATAGAAACAGAAGAACTAAATTAATATCTCTCAATATCAAAATTTTCACCGTATTACCTTTGTGGTTTGATAACTGTATAACCGTTGTTCAACCAAGTTTCATCTTTTTTAAATTACTCTTCTACTAATTATTAAGCTTCTCCCAAACCAGCTGAATAGTTTTTTGGTTCCTTTTTTATATTCCCTTATTATATAACGTTCTATATTAGCTTATACTTCATCATAGTATTCTTTGCCAAAACAAAAGCTTAGACTATGGACCAGCCTAGTAGCATAGAGATATAGATATGTGCTTTATTTTGGCAAAAGCTGACAACTGCACCAAAGCTTAGCCTCTAAGTACACATAAACTTTAAAAAACCTTACTCAATGCAATTTATTAAATCTCCGCTGTCAGATATGGTATTTAAATAACAAGAAGAGTCGTGTTTAGTTCGGACTTTTGAAATCACGTTAGAAAGATACAATGAATCTTGAGCTTTTGTACAAATATGAACGGTGATCGAATGTTTACTTGAAACGTTGTCAAAATTGTCAAAAGATTGCATTAAAAAGAACTGTCACAATTTGACAAAACACTGAGTTTTAGCGAATATTCGGCTTTCCACAATTTCAAGAAAACTTTGATAATGGTAGCAATAATTCGAGTTGCTCGTAGGTGGTGAGCTCTGTTGAGCTTTGTTTGTAATGCCATGATAAGCCATATGTAAGCCCTGATTAGACTACTGCAATAATACGATTAAATAATAAAACTTATTCAGCTAGAGAGAATGTTAGCTGAATAGTTTGCTGAATGTGATATTACTATCCATTTATAAATGACGCGACCGAAATTGCAGTGAGATTAGGTGCTATCTCTATGAGATGAGGTTCTATCTCCTAGCGTAACAAACTAGAATAATATTTTTGAATGAACTGCCAAGACTATTTTGAATATGCTGCAAGAACAGCGAACAAATTATTAAATAATTACTTCACTACACCTGTTTTCACCGTCAAATTGAAGAGTATATTAAAAGTACAAATTATCAACTTTATGAAAAGCTCACACTTTCTTCTGCACAAAACTGTAAACAGAAATCTCTGTAACAGAAATATTGCTGATCGGTTTTAGCTTATTGAAAAATTGGCTGTTATTGGAAAAAATAGCGAATCCAAGAAAGGTTATTTAACAATTGGTTAATACTGGAAAAAATGAAGCCTCCGATTTTGCGCTGCGATTTGCAGAGTTGATGTTTCTCCGACAATACGAGCAGCTTTGTTGTTACCACAACAGACCTTATTATGTAAACAGAATGTACAGAATGGGTTTTATCTGATCCAGAACTGCTCCGTCTACTGTATATGCAAAAAATATTGTAGAGAATGATTTACATATGTTGCTAAAACTACAACTCCAACTGCTGAATATGCTAAAATGAGCAGATCTAATGCGATTTAATACTTCAACATTATTTTATAAGGAAATTTAAGCAAAAAGTGGAAAGATTCGTTAGTTTTACTCGTACTCCAACGATTTCATCGTGAACGAAAATATGTTTTCAGTCCACAGAAAAAGCATTACAGTATTTATGAACGCACAAAATATACAAAAAATAATAAAATAGTGATGATAAAAAGTAATAAAAAAAATACATTTTTTTTATTGCTGAAAATATTCAAATATTAGCAAAAAGTATTCTAAAATAGCTGGAAAAGTGGAAAATAAAATTAAGTGCTAACAACAGACAAAAACATAGACAATATTTTATAAAAATATATTTCATATAAAATAATAATTGCAAAAATGTGCATAAACTAAATTAGTAAAATTATTTTGCACAAAAATATAATAACATATATACTAAGCGAGTACATATGTATACTCGTACATACACATGTATATGTATTTTCATATAGCGTAAATATAGATTAAAAACAACAACTATGCATAATCTAGAGCGGATTACACGAACAACTGCTTCAATCGCACGGCGCTCAATTCCTTACACGCAAACTGGCATACATATATATTGCGTAAGTGTGTGTGTGCTTCTTTTTTTGTGTGTGCGAATATCATTTAAATATAATGTGTCAAGTATATGGATTTGAAATTATTTTAGTATTTGTGCGAGGCGACGAATAAGCTGGCGTTGGCGGCAAAGGACGGTATTGAGCCAGCCACGTATATGCCTTGGCATGCGAGTCCGTTAGCCTGTGTGATTGTGTGTGTATTTGTTGTGTAGCGGTAGTACAGTGGTGGGCGCAGGCGCAGCGACGGTATTTGTAAGTGTAGCAAGAGTGTGTGTGTGTATGTGCATAGGTGTAGAAGTGTAGGAATTTGTGTGTATTTTTTGTAGCATAGCGATAATACAGATTGAGAAAAATAGTTTTTAGATTATGTGCAAACAGATTTAAAACAAATTTAAGTAGAAAATAATGCAAGTAATTGTAAAAGTAATTAAAAGGGATTATTATTAGTATTAAATAATTAATAACTTTAAAGTACCAAACCAAGCAGAGTATTAATAAGTTAGTTTATGTATTGGTTTCTTAGTTATTAATATTTAGTAAAATGATTTATAGTTACTGTAATTTAATGCTTATATTAAATGTTTGTTAATAACAATTTTTGTTTTTAGTGTTAAAAATGCAAGTCACATTGCACTTAGCTTACTTAGATAAAAGCATTACCGAAAAATTAAAATTTTATTTATTGTGCTTTAATAATAATTAGAGAAAAATATCAATATAATTATGAAAAGAAGATATATTATTATAATATATAAATATAACATTATATAGCATTTAAAAATAAAATAAAAATAAAAATATGTAAGTACTTAAACATTTAGAAGTTTAGGACTGTATAATACTTATAATATTATATATTCAGAGTAGAAAATATTGAACGAATGTCTAAAAATTAAGTTGTTTATATTTTATGAACAGTAATTTTTTTTTAAGATAAATATAAAATAAAAATTATATACGAAAACAAAATATATTATAAATAAAATCTTGTTGTTTTTTTATTGTTTTTTTTTTTTTTTTTTTTAAATATAGAAAATATTAAAGCTATTCATATAAAATCCAAATTGAGTAAATTTTTGTGTTCAGAATATTAAAAGTATATTTTTTTAATAAATTTTGCCAATTTTTGCTATGCCAAAAACTTTTGTAAAAACTTTGAAAATAACAATATTTAAAAATATCATTTGTAAAAAATAAATATGGAGTTTTAATATTTTTTAGGTTAGGCGGAATGTTTGTATAAGTAAATTATGAAAATGTTTTAAAAATATTTAGAAATTGGAATATATATATAACTGTATAAAAATGTAAATTCAAAAAAAGTTTTGTTAGAAGTGCATATGTGTATTTTTCTGAATATTGGAAATGTTAAGAATAAAAATAAAAATATATTTTTACCAGCTAAGTGAAATAAATGCCACTTTTGTACATATGTACATATGAAGGGAAATGGGGATAATATTTGGCAACCAATAAAATTCCGTTATGTCATTTTCAAAGCAGAATTATGGTATAAAGCATAACCGGTTTTTGCTTTTAAATAATTTTCATCAAGTGGAAATTGTAACATAACATAAGGAGGGTTCTTAAGATTAAAATTACATAATAGAGGGAAATATGCCTTGAAATCAAAATACATTTTTTTTTTGTATTTAAATTAAAAAGTTTTTCCATGAAAAATTAAAAGACATAAAGTTTGTTTTCTACTGTTCTTAATCAAACGTCATTAAAATAAATTATGATATAGAAAACAATTTAGATTAAAAAAATTTAATTTTTAAAAATTTGTATAAAACATATTCTATATTTTTATATTTTTTAACCAAAAAAAGTAATTATTTAAAAATTATTGAAGTGCAATAAAATATCAACCTCTCAAACCTTAATAATATTTTGCTTTTGCACACCAACAGCATTTCACCATAAAAATACAACCAAATAATCCAAAAAGTCCCGTTATGATATAACAAAAAATACATGTTTACATACCTTCGCGCGTTTCAAGAGCTCATTTTGACCAGCGATAACATTGTCCTTCTTACCGGCCCATGCGCGCAAAACGGAAGCCTGCAGGGCACGACCGTACGAGAAGGTCAGAGCCCATGGTTTCAACAATGGCACGTTGTTGATGGCGTTCAAGTGAACAGAAGCCTCTTCCTCAGATTGACCGCCAGACAAGAAGGTGATGCCTTTAAGAAATACAAAAATAACAATAACAACAGAAAAATAATTATATTATAGCAACAACTAACCGGGAACAGCAGCTGGTACAGTTCTGCGCAGAGCTTCGACGGTGGCGAGCGCCACTTGGTCGGGTGTGTACTTCTTGGCGCAAGATTGGCCGGCTGTGACCATGTTGGGCTTCAACAATGTACCCTCCAAGTAGACATGATGGTCATTCAAAGCCTTGTACACGGCAGCCAATACAGTTTCGGTAACTTTTTGTGCGCGTTCCAAGTCATGATCACCATCGGGCAATACTTCGGGTTCAACGATTGGTACAATGCGCTGCGATTGGCAGATGGAGGCATAACGAGCCAAAACATTGGCATTCTCTAAAATAGATTGGTAGGATGGGATGTTCTTGCCGATCTTCAAGACGCAACGCCACTTGGCGAAGTCGCAACCGTCCTTCTTGTATTGGGCGCAACGAGCAGCCAAATCATCCAAACCTGAAGAATTGAGAGAATAAAAAAATAGGATTAGTATGATAAAAGCCCTTAAATTAGTGTGCAATATTTGAGCGAATATACATCAGAATGTGAAATAAAATAATAGCGAAGCTTTTGAGTTTCCTGAGACATGAAACAGAGATCTTGGGTTTCCCAATGCTCGTTTGCTATACTTTTGAATGCGAGAATTCGGACGTCTAACTTAAATCAAAAGAGACCGAGGTTTTATGGTTACATAACCTCTTCGCTATTGTTCGTAAGGTATATGAACAATTCTTATATTTGCAGAGTTTTGTTAACCATTATTACTATTGTCACAATAATTGGCTCTGGTCGCCTGGAGGAAACTACCAAGCGAAACGTCTCAACTTAAAGTTCTTTAAATCCTAACCAAACTATATCATACCTACACATTTTCGACCTTATAACTATGAGTTAAGTTATTGAAATGCACTTCTTACCCTGAGTGGTGCACTCGTCTTCGGAGCCGAACAATGGCACAACACCCTTATCGACCTTAATGCCGGGGATGATGCCGCGCTTCTTCAACAACTCAACGAATGGGGTACCATCATCAGCCTTCTGGTACAAGGTTTCGTGGAACAAGATTACACCAGAAATGTTATCAGCGACTTTGGGGTCGGTGGAGAACAACAGCTGACGGTATAGGCGACGATGTTCATCGGTATTTTCAACACCAATGTCTTGCAGACGCTTGCCCATGGTGGAGACGGACTCATCAGCAGCTAGAATACCCTTGCCGGGAGCGACAATAGCGCGCGCAATGCGGCTAAGCTCCTCTTGCAATTCCTTGGATGGGTAGTTGAAGTAGGTGGTCATTTTGTTGTAGACTTGTTTTTATTTGGTGTGATGTTCAAAGAGACTGTAAAGAAATAGAAACGTAGAAACGAAAATGTTAAAGTGGAATTTTGAATTTTTGTATTTTTTTTTGCAGTTTATTGTAATTTAATTTTAAATTTTTTTTTAAGGATTTTTAATAAAAAAAAAAAAGTTCAATTTGTGATTTTTTTATTATTTTATTCATATTTTGGAAAGAATTAAAAAAAAAGAAACAAATTTTAAAGTAATATAATAGAAAAATGTTTAAATGTTGCCTGCAAATGTGTTGCTAACGAAATGTTGCGCAACATTGTCGCCAGCGCATGTATAAGGAAACATTTATTCAGAATGACGTTCGTATTTGCCGTGACGTCGTAACAAGTTCGTAGTTGTGAAAAATATGTATATAGAAATGTATGTATATATGTGTGTGCATACATGTAACGGGTGATCCAAGTAGAGGTACTTTTTTCAATAGAGCTCTTTTTAAAGATCACGCGTGAGACGTGTTAATTTCATCATGGAAAGACTCACGCCTGTACACCGTTTACAAATCATTCAACTTTATTACAAAATTCAAGTTCTGTAAAGAATGCGTTTATCGGCATTCATTATTGGATAATATTCGACGGAATAGACCACGTCCAGCATGCAGTGAAGAAAATATAGCGGCCGTAGCTGAGAGTGTACACGAAGACCGTGGAGAGTCGATTCGGCGCCGTTCTCAGCAACTCGACCTTCCCAAGCGACATCGCTTCGCTCTATGGGCTCTAGAAAAAATCCAAAAAGATATGACGTTTTCGAGAAATTTTGTTCAGCAATGAGGCCCATTTCTGGCTCAATGAGTATGTAAACAAGCAAAATTGCTGCATATGGGTTGAAGAGCAACCTGAAGAAATACAAGAGTTGCCATTTCATCCAGAAAAACCAATAGTATGGTGTTGTTTGTGGGCCGGTGGAATCATCTTCAAATTTGATGGCTGAAATTGAAGCTCGTGATCTCGGCGACATTTGGTTTCAACAAGACATCGCCACTTCAACCACATCGCATCAATCAATGGATTTATTGAGAGATCACTTCGATGAGTAGATAATTTCACGTTTTGGGCCGGTCGATTAACCACCAAGATCGTGTGATATCACACGGTTAGACTTTTTTCTGTGGGGATATGTAAAGTCTATTGGACTTAACGGATGGACCATCTGAGACGTAGCCGCGGCCAACATTTGAAAGAGATAATCTTCAAAACATAAATGCCAAAGAATGTTCTTTTGAATGGTAATAAATATTCCATATTGAATTTGAATCCTCGAAATGGATCACCCATTACATATGTACCTATATAAGGTTATGTGGGTATTTGTTGAGTTCAATTGAAAACGTAAAGCCGTTGGTACACATAGAACAAAAAGCAACAACGGTATTAATTTTAATTTATTTAATGAATTTATGTATTCATCTTTAATTATATTTACTCGTCGATGACGGCAATAAGCGATAACGCTTTAGTGGGGTTAACCAAAGTGCAGACAAGCCACAAAGTCATGGAAAAAATTTTGATAAGGCTGGTGCAACAAAGCAATAATATTTGTGATGGAATTCTTGGTTTCGCTATTTTGAGTTTCTTGCTTTATTTTTATTGCTTTTATATTATTCAATAGTTTTCAAAAATCTTTTTGGTTTAAAATTTGGAAATATTGCGAACTAGATTCAATAGCAATGGCAATAGTGGAGAAAAAATATTGTTTTTTGTTAAACATTAATTTCTTAATTTAAAATTAAAAAAAAAAAAAACAAGCACTTGATTCCGATCGTTCAATTTGTAAGGCAGCTATATGATATAGTGATCTGATCTGAACAATTTCTTCGGAGATTGTATTATTGCCTCAGACAGTAACCCAAGCCAAATTTCGTTAAGATATCTCGTCAAATGAAAAAATTTCCCATACAAGCACTTGATTTCGATTGTTCAGCTCGTATGGCAGCTATATGCTATAGTGGTCCGATATCGGCGGTTCCGACAAAAGAACCGCTCCTTTATTTTTCTAAATAAAATGGAATGTTATTAGAAACACACGGCATAAGCTGATAAAAGTTCGATATTATGCCGGAAACTGTGTATGTACCATAAGTATGTATGTATACTTGAGCATGTATACATATACATACATATGTATATGTGAAAAACAATTTTTTTTTAAATAATTTCACTAAAATTTATGCACTTCATTCACCACAGCATTTATAGAATACATATAGAATGTAAATGAAAATATGAGAATACTCAAATAAGTAAAGTATCCACAATTTTCACAAAAAAATCAGAAAAATCATTAAAATATTGAAAAAAAAAGTTTCTTTTCATCACCAAATTTCACAAAAGTAATGCACTTTTTTACAAGTGAAAATTAAATTTATTAATATAACTACATGTATGTATCTAAGAACTTTAGTATACATATGTATATGAATTAACTAAATTTCCACATATACCACGCACCACAAGAAAAGTCCGACCGATTGAAGCACTACACAGATACTGAATGAAAATTCGAATACTGGAAACACGTAAGGTGCAGTGCACGAACACACATACCGTTAGTTCGGCAGCCAACGCAAATTCGGGCGAGTAGATACGAGTAGGCAGGCCCACTTTTCAGCTGAGCTGATAAGGCCCGAAGCGGAGATGGCATAACAGCACAGGCATATAGCAGAAAGAGTTGGAGCTGACCTCGACATGTGAACAGAGATGCAAAGAGCGGGTAGTAGGAAATTCGTAGATTCGTAGAGTATACGCGTGCTGAGTGTCCTACAAAAGACTTTCACTTTCTTCGTGTAGTGAAGCGATGAAAGTGAATTTTTAGTACGCAGATGAAGAGATGGCTGCCGCTCCATAACAAAAGCGAAAAACAACAACAGCCAAAATATAGACAACAAATGTCGAAAGCTCACATAAAAAAGTTAAAAAAAAAACGCAGTTATTCGTGGACATGCGCACGATATTAAATAATGTGTATATGTATGTATGTATAGAGTACGAAAATAACATACGAAATTTCGTTTTCAATTCGCTCAATTTTTGTGATATCGACAAAACCATGACCGACAGCACGCCGCTTCACCACCAAACAACCTTTTGCTAGCCCCCCACCTTCTGATCGCTTTGACGACGGCATGTGGCGAGCAAACGAACACACACTCACCCACACTCGCTGTTGTTTGTACGCCGACATTGACGAAGGTCAAATAAGAGGCAAAACATGTTGCGTTACAATTGCTGTTGTTGCTTCACTTTTTTGTTTTTGTTTTTTATTGTAGCTCTTGCAACATTTTGACTGCTGTTGAAAGTATTGTTGCTGAACTTTCAGGTAGGAAAATATATAATATGTGCGTATATAAATTTTCCTTCGAGTAAAACACGTGATTTCTATTCCATGCATTCTGTTTGGATTTATATTTATGATTTTAATTGTATAATATTGTGTAACATTTTTATATGACATTTTTCACCTACTTAGGCGACGAAGGCGTTTTGGAGGTTTCGTTGACTCGCTTGACATTGAAGGAAAAATCTGAAGAGTCAACTCCTCAAGAAAAGTATGAAAATTAAAACATATGTACATATTAACATATTAACATATACATATAATACATATACACACTCACATATATATTTACATGCATGTGTTTGTATTATGTGTAATTGCGCTGGAAGTAATTAGGATTTGTCAACTTTGGAAAGTTTTAAAATTATTTCATAACAATTTTTAAATATTTAGTTAGTATTTTTTAATTATTGTTTTTCTAATACATATTTTTAAATTTTTTGAGTAAATTGAGTAAGAACCCAAAAAATTTATATTTTTTAAGTAAAATATATTTCGTAAAAAAATTTTATTGAGAAATATAATTCTTAATAATTAAACAGTAATATTTGAATTTCGATTTTTTAGATTAAAATATCATTATATTAAAACATACACACATTTTTATAAATTATGAATTTTTGGATTAAATAAATATGATTTTTTAATCTAAAATTTTTTTAAAGAATTTATAAGCCAAATTTCGCGTGTTCAATACAAAAATTAATTTCTTTTGATTGGAATTTGATAAAAATTAGCGCATTGATTCCTTTTTTAGAATTTATATTATATAAGAAAAGATGAACTTTTTTATTTTGTAAAATATTTTCAAAAACATGTGCTTTGTGAAACTTTGAAAATTATTTCCTAACCATTTGCACAAATTTGGTGAGTTATTAGTTGTTTTTTCTAAATAATGTTTTTTTTTTTATTTATTTTTTAATAATAAGCTAAATATCGCGTAATACACACAAAAATTTATTTTGATTTTCATATTTATTTTTAAAAAAATTTAAATCGGTTAATTTTTTAAAATTTTTACAAAAAAACACATGAAATTGTTCATTTTCTAAAAAAATTGAAACTTGATCGCCATATTTTTATTAAATTAATTCATAATCAAGTTTCTAGCAGATACTAATTAAATACGGAAGTGAAAATCAGAAAATTTTTAACACAGTTTTTAACAAATTTAGAAAATAAGCTTAAAAAATATATAAATGCTTCTTATCAAATAAGTTAATTAATATTTCTTCATTTACTCATTTTAATTTTAAAAAATCTATTTATTAAAAAAAAATGATGTTGGAATTCTAGTATTTAAAGATTAATTAAATAATTTATATATAATTTTTTTTTTATAAAAAGAAGCACACAAGTAAGCATACATATGTTCCGAGAAGTAAACAAGTGGTTTTTGTACGAAGGCCACTTATGAATCAAAGCATTTCGACGAAATTGAAATTCCAGTTGTTAAGAACTGGTCATTGTCATGTGATGGTCAAAATTATATACATATATTCTATAACGATTAATAATAACTTGAAAAAACCATTTCTCTAACTACACACAAAAAAACATTTAGCTGCATTTATTTGAAAAACTTCTACAGAAAAGCTTTTGCCGTTGCTTTTTATGCTAAGAATATGAAATTTCTTTAAAAAAAAGTTTTGTTTGTTCTGATTTCTTCTTGACAATGTTAAAAGTGAAAGCAAAAACAAGTTCATACTATATAACATATGTACGTATATAACTCCGCATTTGAACTCACACAATAATTTTGAGTGGAATTTGCCATTGAAGATAAAGACAAAATACGTCGTACAGACATATGTAAATTCGAAATATTTTTTAATGTCTTTTAATACTGAATTAATAAAAAAAATTTTTTCAGAAAATATAAAAAATTATCAGCGAATATTAATAAATAAATATTATTTAATGATGCACATAATTATTGTATTACGCAATATATGAATGATCTGTCTATATACATATATGTTATTTATTAGATTATATATGTTTACCTCGGATGATGCTTTATATTATTTTATGATATCACTACAGTGAATATTAAAAAATGCATATTGCATAACATTACAACAACTGCATATTCGTATAACGCATCTCGGAACATTCTAGAAGATCTTCAGATGACTTTTAAGTGTTTATTAAAAGAAAATATTGCAAAAAACAAGTAAGAAAGGGTGTAACCGAACATTTTTTACTCTTGCAACTTGCAAAGATCAATTTAGAGCAAATGCCTGGTGTTAGGAAAACTTTATATCAAAAATGTTGCGAAACAATTCAACATTCATTATTCGCCGAAATCGTCTATGGATTACAATAAAATTAATTATTATTCGGTTAATTATCTAAGATCTCTTCATACTGATCATTTATATACATATCTATCTCGCTAAGTTTTAGGAGATACAAGCAACCGTTAGGTGAACAAAACTATTATACTCTGTAGCAACATGTTGCAAGAGTATAATTATAATAGTTTAGCAAAGACATTAGTTACAAAGAAAATAACTCAAACTTTCGATTTTAAAGTTGTAATAATCTAAGGATATCGAAAATTCCTTCAAAATACACATCCCAAAAAGTGGTTGGAAGCGCGACTAAACGTTTGTGGCATGTAAAATACTTTCGAAAATCCTCGGATTTTCTAAAATTCTTCACAAACTCTTTATTTTCAATTGCATGCTTTTGAAATTATTCTTCTTTTTTACTATCAACGCAATAAAATTCAAATTCCCTCACATAACATAAAAATAATTTATTTCTTCCCGTGATTTATTTACTGTGAATTTTATTAAATAATAAACTCAAGTAATTTAGCTACTTTACTTTAAAATAAAACTGTAATTTTTGCATTAGAAAGTTGTTATTACTTTCAAACATGGTGTTTTCTTCAAACAATCCTGCAAAACTAAGAAAATAATTGCGAAAATAGGAAATTTGAAGTAGCTGCAAGGAAAGTGAAAGTACTTTACTTGCATACTCTGTACAACTTTATGCTTACAAGCAAGTGAAAAGAATCGAAAAGTAAGTAGAATCGATGAATTCAATTACTAATTAATTATACTAAGAAATTAGCGAATCGAAAACGCTGACAGCGATTAATTATAATGCTAAGTCTCACTGAAAACTATAAATTAGTGGAAAAATTATTAATTCAGCACTTTTTGTACAATAAAAAGCCAACTGATGTATCTTATAGATTTTTCGATAACGCTAAAAAAATTTTACATAACCAATCAATAGCTTCAGCTACACTACACATATTTAAATTTTTAATAATTTTATGAACTTTATGCCGTATAATACCGTAATTTTTTAACCAACTCAAAAGACCAGCGGTTTTCACGAACTTTACCTGATACAAAATTATACAAGCTTCCTGCGGCGCTGCCAACCAAAAATCAACTGTGACTGAAACTCGCCGATCGACGGACTTTAATATATGCAGAAAAAACCGTATAGGCATACATATGTATCGATTGTAAATACTCCTATATAAACATATATATACAATACATGCAAGCGTCCATATGATAATACAGAGAGCTTAAATGAAGCCACACACCAACTATGCAACCAAGTGAAACAACTGAAAACCACTTTTGATAACATAAGAAAACACATTTCACCAGAAACTAGTAAAACCAACAAGAAAATTTCTGCAAAATAACAACAAAAAATAATTTCAAAACAAGTTCTGTCAGCTCTATCACGGTGTTTATGCTTATCAAAGTGCTTATAATGGGGGGCCAGATAGTAGATAGTAAGAAATAATGCGAGCATAGCGATACAGTATCTATATATATTGCGGTGGGGCGTGTCTGCTTGAAGTGTGACGTGTTACTCGACACATACTTATATCAAAATCAACACTGAAAAAACAAACCGGATTAGAAAACAACGAGCCTCCGTATCTGCAAACTTGAACGCGTTTGAGCTGCAGTGTGAGTATATTTAAATATAAAATAATCAACAACTCATACATAAAAATATATTTCGAAACCTAAATAAAATAAAGTATTTAGTTCGCGTAGTTGAAATAAATAACTTGTTTTTTTTAGGAAATTTTATTTATTTTTCCTAAAGTTAATCTAAACTCATTTACTGTTGCCACGTGAAGTATTTCGGTGATTAGCGCAGTATCTATGCTGCAAACAATGTAACGGCTCATGAACTTTGATATTATACTGGTTATACAAGTGGAACGGCAGTGGACCTGATTTGATTAGTACAAACTCAGATTTTCTAATGGAGTACAATATATGTATACCGATTAATCGACTTTGGTCGCAAACTGTTTGAGGCATTAATTAAGCATATTATTAATTAATTTTATAACCTTAACTATGTAGTTTATACCGAGATGAACACACAGAAGGTCAGCGTGATCAGCGTGATGAGCTGAGTCGATTTATCCATATCCGCATGTCTGTCTGTATATACTCGAACTAGTTCTTCAGTTTTTGAGATATCGTTCTGAAATTTTACAAATATGTTTCTCTTTCCCAGAAGCATCTCATATGTCGGAACCGCCGTTAGCGGTCCACTATAGCATATAGCTGCCATACAAACTGAGCGATAAAAATAAAGTTCTTGTGTGGAAAATGTCTTATTTGTCAAGAGTATTACCGCTTACAAGCGTTTATTCTTTTTAAGTTAATATTGTACTAATTTCCCTTTTACAGTCTCAATGAAGTTGGAAGTACAGACACCAATGGGTCCAAATAATATTACAAACTTTTTAGGGGCATCTCTATACAATATCATCACAAAAACTTAGAAACACATTAGTAATATTGATCACTATCGAGCGTATACTAGACGGTTTAATCGACTGAGGACCCTTCTTTAAAATAGTAATTAATAAGAAAGTTGTTGTTAAAAAGATCAAATGTGGTACTTAGTCCTTACACCATATATTAAAATGCCATCCAACTGAACTAGCTGGAATTGAAATCAATTACGTTAGCAGATTTGTGCTGACTTCAAGACGTTTTGTTGATACATGAAGATTTAATCCATCTTTAGGGATTCTTCAGCAACACAAAGCAACACATTTGTTTGTAATAGTGCAAGTGTGATCTGCCGATCTAACCTCTATAAACTTAATAATCCTCTGAACTTAGTATATGAGAACCTTATAACAACAACGCACCACAGACATATTGAACGTTATAACTCAAAGAAAGTATGTAGAACAATTTCATTATCATAAAGGTTTTAATTATCCACAATATACTGTACTCATGCATAAATATGTATGGACATGAGTAAAAATACAGAATAGCATACATATCGACTTAAGCGTGCAGTTTT